GCTCAACAATCTTCTCTCTCCGCAATTCAATTGCACATTACCTCACGTTCGGTTCTTACCGGTTTATATATACAAGACTATGACTTATCTAGTAGGTTTTCGACAATTAAAGAAAGGACGTGAACGTTCGAGAAGGACGTGGCGGGATACTAGTCACGGGACCTCTGCTGTTGCAACAATATTATACTATCTACAAGATAACACTTTTGACAAATCAGTGATAATTAAGAAAACATTTCCCATTAAATTTAGTAAATAAAATAAATAAAATAAAAATACAAGCAAAAACAGAAACAGAAGTATATTCAAGTAGTTTTGCACAATATTGTATCTAAACAAGGTATGATTATATAAATTATATCTACACATTATGTATCTAAACAATCACAATATTGTATCTAAACAAGGTATGATTATATAAATTATATCTACACAATATTGTATCTAAACAATGTATGATTATATAAATTATATCTACACAATATTGTATATAAATAATTTATGATTATATAAATTATATCTACAGAATATTGTATCTAAACAAGGTATGATTATATAAATTATATCTACACAATATCGTATTGTTACGTCTCCGTTTGTTAGTTAATTTTCCGTAAAATCGTTCCGACGAAACTTTAGCGACACAAATCCTTTCTTAAATGAAACGGGTTTATTCTTTTATACTCAGTTCAATTACACACACACGCCTGCTCTTGGCCAGTCTTATATATATAAGACTACACTATATCTAGATGGATCCCGAGATTTAAGGAAAGGACGTGAATGTTCGAGAACGACGTGGCGTGATACTAGTCACGTGACCTCTGCTGATGCAACACTGCCCCCTCCTTAGTATTGTTCGTCCCGAACAATAGCCAATAACAATTAACAATAACTTAATTAAATGTACAGAATTACAAACACAGAATTACAATCAACAAAGTCTCTTAATTTTACGGGACATATCTTCTTCCGTACTGGTCTCTGTCTCGTTGGTTTCTGCTTCATATGGGGTTCATCTGCTTCTTCAAAAAATGTCCTATCGTCGATAACAGTCACATCAGTGGCAGTAACTTCATCAAGAGCGTCACTGTTTCCCTTCTCAAAACTGAGTAGAGTTTCTCCTTCAACAGTGGCTTTTTCAGATGTCACTTCTTCAGCAGCTTCATTTGTTCCGTTGTTCACTTCGTTCCAACTGAAATGTCCTGTACCGTGATAACGCCAAAGCCTGTTGGCATGCACCAGTTTTGGCTTACCTCGCCGACCACATTTTATCCAGAAAGTCTCATCTGAGAGACGATCCATTATGTCATATGGGCCTTCCCATGGAGAAGACAACTTAGGAGACTTCCCTTTGCTATTCCTGGGATTATACAACCACACCTTGTCTCCTGGTTCAAAGCTGACTTCAGTAGATCTCTTATCATAAGATAGCTTCATTGATTCAGCAGATGTTTTCAAGTTTGTATGCACTTGATGGTGAATATCATCCATCCTTTCCGATAACACTTCCACATACTCTGACATATTCACAGGCGACTCTTCATAATGTGGGCGTCCTTTATGCTTGGGTTCCCTTTTAGCACTACATGTACTGCATGTTCTGTACCATTCTTCCACATCTTGCTTCATACCTATCCAGTAAAATCTCTGTCGTAGGTGACTCAATGTCTTCTTAATTCCGAGATGTTCTTCTGTTAAACTATCATGGGATTGATGCAGCACAACTTCCCGTAACTTCCTCGGTATAACTGTTTGCCGAGTCGTCAGTTTCCCATCTGTAGTTTCCCATCTCCATACAAGAATACCATTTTTAAGCTTCAACTGGTCCCATTGTGCCCGATAGTGCTCCGTCACAGGGCTTAGACTAGACACCTTCTCCCAAGCAGGGTGCACAACACTTTTAGAAAATCAATTATTGGCTTCAAATCTTGGTCTTTCTCCTGTTCTGCTTTGATATATATATTTGGTTCCACTTCATCATCATCAACTCTTTCAGTCGGCTTGACTTCAGCTTGATGGCACCTAATTAGTTCAACCTCTCTTTTAACAGTTACCGGAACTTGGCCTTTGTTGTTCCCAAATGTCATTTTATCAAAATTAATTACAAACTTCCTCGGTAGTAAGTAGTCCAACCCTAATATGCATTCATCTTCAATGTCAGCCAAGTATACTTTCTGTCTGTCCTTTATGCCCATGAGCTCAATAGTTACCCACACTGGTCCCTACAACCTTGCATAATGTCCTGTCACACCACAAAGGTTCTGTATGGCTTCTGGTACTCCTTCGTGATTTAACACCTTGATGCTCACAAGGGTTTGCTGAGACACAGAGTCTATGACAAAGTTGCACCTTTGGCCATCTAGCTTTCCTGTCACATAGACACTGTGTGTGCTTGGCATTTAACACCTAGCTGTTGGGACTTTCACGAAGGGGGTTGGTCTCCTTGAGGCTGACTTGTTGGTAATATTCTTCATACACTGGCTCCTCAGATGTCCTTGTTCCCCACA